AATACTTGCATTATATCTAAAATTTGTATGTCTAATGCAAAATCTATGATGCTTATATTCAAAATGATCATCAAATTGTAAGAATTCCAGCAATGTAAATTATAGTCTGGCCGGATAATTTGAATGAATTTTATGAGCTAAATAAAAAAATTATACTTCACCCACGTAAAGGGGTACACGCACCGCGGAATGTGAGCATCCCGGGTTCCGGCAGGGTACCGCGTAAACGTGGAATGTGGGACCGCGTAAAGTGAGGGTTGACTGTAAACAAATTATACTTCACCTGCGTAAATGATGAAATTTACCGCATAATTAAAACATTTCATTCTGGCAAGGTGCCGCTTAAATGACCAAACGCGTAAACAAAAACCACGCAAATCCAGACTATACTGTACTTGCTCTACCAAACACAAAGACAGCCAGACAGCGTGGCGACAGACTGTGTGTGTGTTGCCGAGCACTTTTTATGAAAAATAATGCAAATAAAATATTCTAAATGAATTATTTATAGGAAATAAGTATTATGATCAGTAAATATATGCATTATTGGCCATCCCGGACACAAAGGCAAGCAGAAAATTGCCACTAAGTGCGTAGTGACCACAAGTGTCAGCCATCAAAACAACACTGTCCCCTGATGTCCCTCGCCACTGCTGCCCCAGGGAAGTTTCTAGATGGTCAAGATAAAGTTTTTATTACAGGTTGTACCTCTCTAGTCCGGCATTCTGTGGTCCGGAACAATTTTAGTTTGTCCAATAGGTAGATAGGCAGCTTATTTTTTTTTTTAACTTATCTGAATTATTATTATTATTACAGGAGTATTAAATTTTTGCCCCTCAGGCCCGAATGTGGGTCAGTGACCTATGCCCGGGTGGGCTAATCCCCATAAAAGAAAACAACAACAAAGCCGCAGGAAATTAAGATTTGTTTACATCTGGCAGTTCGGCTGCTCTCTCTCTCTCTCTCTCTCTGCTTGTCTATACAGAGTACAACATTTAACCCTTCAATATATATGAGCAGTAAATAAGTGTTGCTTTCATATTCTTATGTTGAGTAATGACAATATATTTTCACATGTGCGCACTTACATACGCGCAGTCTCACTTTTTTTTTTACCATTAATGGTTAGCTACTTATATTGTTCCATTTATTAACATTAAATAATGTTACAGGTACTTCAAACGACCATATTAATTTTTTTACATTAATTTTACTACAGCTACAATCAGGGTCTTATTTTCTTCAGTTTTATATGTAGAACCAATCAGTCACTGGTTTTGTAAGCTTTAACATAAACAATGCCGGCAGCCGTCGTCTCATCGTGTGTTTTCATATTCCACATATTATTAATAGATTGTATTGTTAATTTTGCACACACAAACAAAAATTCAATAAAAACAAATTCAGAAACATTAATTCAAATATATATGAACAGTAAATAAGTGTTTCTTTCATATTCTTATGTAAAGTAATGACGATATGTTTTCACGTGTGCGCACTTACGTACGCGATCTCTCTTTTTTCTTTACCATTATCGTTAGCTACTTTTATTGTTCCATTTATTAACATTAAATAACATTACTTAAAACCATATTAATTTTACTACAGTTACAACTAAGGTCTTATTTTCTTCAGTTTTATATGTAGAACCAGTCACTCACTGGTTTTGTAATCAACGAAAACAATGCTGTGTCATTTCCTCGTGTGTTTTAAAATTCTACGTATTATTAATGAATTGTATTGCTCATTTTGCACACATAAACATTAATTCAATAAAAAAGACATTCAGTAATAAACAATAATGAATCTTTTGTACATAAGATAAATGACGCTGTTTACATGATTATGCACGTCGTCTGCAAGTTGGCGGGCCGTTCAAACCCGTCGAAATTCAAGTTTCCGCTGTCAAAATTTTTATTTATTTTTTTTGTGTGTGTTCCAATAAAATACGTTGAATTAAAAACTCGCGAAATTTGAGAAGCTACTATACGACATTTAACTCTTCAATATGTCTTCAAAGAGACCATGATGCAGAGAAAGTGGTGCTAGTGCTTCCAAGCATAAGCACAAGTCACTACCTATCCAGGAAAAGGGTGAATTTCCATGGTCCGGCACCGGTCAGGTCCCGAGATTGCCGGACTAGAGGTACAACCTGTACAGTATTACCCCGCCTAACGCGGTTTCACTTAACGCGTTTTATCATATACGCGGTGCCTCGCCAGAGCTGAACTTTCACTTAACACGGATTTTTCCACATATACGCGGTGAGTGTCCGGCTCGAGACGCTATTTTTAGATTTGCCCCACCCGCCACCCTGCCTGACTGCCTGTTTTAGCTCATAAAATTCATACAAATTACCCGGCCAGAATATAATTTACATTGCTGGAATTCTTATAATTTGGTGATCATTTTGAATATAAACATCATATATTTTGCATTAAACATACAATTTTTAGATAAAATTTTTTCTCTAGGTAACTATGTTATCTTTTGTGCAAAATATATGACATTTATATTCAAAATATTCCTGGTCTTACAAGGAATCCAGCAATGTCAATTATATTATCCTAACTTTAGTTTGAGGTATTATTTATTAAAATTTAGTGGTTATCCCACACATCTCCTTGGGACGGTTGGTGGGGGGTGGGGGGTGGGGGGGAGGGAGGGACCGACCGACCGACCATCTGTTACCCTGTGAAGAATTATTTTTTTTTTTATTAACTGAAGATATTTGTTTTAGCTCATAAAATTCATACAAATTACCCGGTCAGAATATAATTTACATTGCTGGAATTCTTATAATTTGGTGATCATTTTGAATATAAACAACATATATTTTGCATTAAACATACAATTTTTAGATAAAAATTGTTCTCTAGGTAACTATGTTATCTTTTGTCCAAAATATATGACATTTATATTCAAAATATTCCTGGTCTTACAAGGAATCCAGCAATGTCAATTATATTATCCTAACTTTAATCTGAGGTATTATTTAATACTAAATGTTAAAAACTCTGGAAGGGAGGATTGGTGGGGGGTGGGGGGTTGGGACTGACCGCGCGGTTGGAAGAGGGGGGGAGGCAAGGTGGGGTACTTTGATTGACAGATAGTGTCGTGAAGATTATTTTTTTTTTTATTAACTGAAGATATTTGTTTTAGCTCATAAAATTCATACAAATTACCCGGTCAGAATATAATTTACATTGCTGGAATTCTTATAATTTGGTGATCATTTTGAATATAAACATCATATATTTTGCATTAAACATACAATTTTTAGATAAAAATTTTTCTCTAGGTAACTATGTTATCTTTTGTGCAAAATATATGACATTTATATTCAAAATATTCCTGGTCTTACAAGGAATCCAGCAATGTCAATTGTATTATCCTAACTTTAGTTTGAGGTATTATTTGTTAAAATTTAGTGGTTTTCCCCCAAAAATTTCTCTGAGAGGGAAGAGCTGGCAGTGTAGTGTGAGAGTGGGAGGGAGTTGAGTCCATTATTTGAATGGACATTAACTTGGCGACTGTATTTCTCTATTTCTCTTAAGTATTAATTGTGTGCATGTACCATCATAAAATTAAGATGTTATTTTTACTACAACATAGGTATGTGCCTTCAAAAAGTGGAGTTTGGGGGTCGGGCCGGTTTCTATTGGAATTAATCCCATATGTTCTGTTGTTCACTTAACGCGGATTTCACTTAACGCAGGACCCTCTGGGTTCAATTGACCGCGTTAAGTGGGGTACAACTGTACTTCTTTTTTATTGTTTTATAATTTAAAAATGTTAACAATTATTTTTGGAAAAGTTAACTTTTCTCAATTTACCCCTGCGTGGGGGATATGGCCAGCAGCACCCTAGCCCGGGGTATAGGGGTTAAATATTACCCGTTGAGGAGTGCTTGGCAACACTCATTTCCACTCCATCTCTCTAATCACCCACACCTTTCTGCTTTCTCACTCTATTTTTAAAAATGCTCTGCAACGTAAAGTTAAAGGGATACAACTTTGCTCATTTACTGTACTGTATACTCATCACAATCACATTAAAAATACTTTAGGTTTTGTGTTTATTCTAGACATCTTCAGGTCATGAGACCCATTAATCACCCACCCAAGAAAGGGTGACCTGACATTTCATCAGAAGGTCAGTAATCTGAGACCACTAATCCCCCACCCTACCTCCAGCTGACATTGAGTCAGGTCAGGTCAGTTACACACGACCAGGTAATCCCCCACAGCTCCATGGGAGTGGAAAATACCAGTCTTTGCTGTAACACAGTTTCATTCACTCCCATATCATATAGATTTTCAATTTCTAAATATATTTATTTCACCAAACTCTTAGATTAACTATTCTGGATTATTATAACAAAGAAATGGAGTTTCTAACTTAATTAAAGCTGCATTTACAGACTCTGGTAGTTTAGACTAAAAAAAAACATCCCCAGCACCCAGAAATGTTCTGGGAAAGTGGGCAGGATGTCTAGTTTAGACACTCAAAAACTTTTTGCCGTAACTGAAGGTTACTGGTGTGCCCTGAAGAATGCAGTGATGGCTAGGGAAACACTGAGTAACACTGAGTCCGTTTATTATGGATGAGAGAAATACAAGTGGTGACTCGCGTGTGCCATGCACGGCTCACACAGTCAGACTGAGGCGCCTTGCCATATGGCAGCCTCGGGGCAATGTTGCCACATAACACGTGCAGTGTTGCCACGTGATAATATATATAAATGCTACTCGGCACAGTAGCTTATGTACAGGGTTGCTACTTGGCACAGTAGCTTATGTACAGGGTTGCTACTCGGCACAGTAGCTTATATACATAACCTACAGTAACCGGAATAGATTCGGGGGATAAGGAATTTTTCCGGATTTGAGAAAGTTGTCTGGTTAGCCGGAAATCTCTCTTAACCGGAAGTGCTGTGCATCATTTGTTCCGGGGGGGAGGGGGGCTGAAGATAACACTGCTTATCGGAACTGTTTATAGAAAATCAGTTGTTGTTATGTTACTACTGCACTTCAAAACTAAAGTCTTTTAGTGTATAACAAGGTTATTAAAAGAACTTTACATGAAACAATAAAAAAATATGAAACAGAGCTCTCTTGGTTGAAAATCAGACTTCAAGTCTGGTTGTCAACAACTGTTTTCACCAATATGATTGTTTCAGTTGAACGTCGATTTAAAGCAATTCAATTTATGATTATTGATTTAAAGCGACATCTACAATTAAAGACTGTTTTAATTTAAAGCGAATTTTTCCTATTTTGCACGAGTCAATCTGGCAAGTCCTGTTTTACATTTTGTGCTAATGTTTCCCACCAAACGTGTCTCTGGGCACACTACATGACTGCCCCCCACACTCTTACACCCTCACGCATCCTCAGTTCTCACGCTGACACTCTAGTGAATGGACATACTGTGTGACACTAACTCCTTCTACCATGTGCATCAACCATCGCCACTACAGTATGTCCAAGAGGCCAGCCACTACATCATTAACTACCCCAAAGGCCAAGAAATCAAGGCAAGCAATTACACTGGAGCAGAAAATCAAGGTGTTGGAAGCACTGCAGTGTGGAAATAATGCTTCAAGTATGGGGAGCCAATTTGGAGTGTCGGAGAGCTCTGTCCGCACTATAAAGCTCAGCGAGAAGGAAATCAGAGCAACCTATGCTTCATCAGATGTTGCCAAGGGTAAATTCCACCTGAAGTCTGCTATGTATGGTGAGATGGAAGAAGCACTGAAGTTATGGGTAGAAGACATGCGGCGCCAAAAACTTCCTCTCACTGGCCCCATGCTGCAAAACCAAGCCTATGAAATACAGTCTCGGATACTTGAAAAGGAAGGGAAGTCCATCAAAGACAGTAAGTTCACAGCAATTACAGGCTGGCTGAACAAATTTATCAAAAGAACGGGGCTACAAAATGTGACGCTTTCAGGTGAAGCAGCATCTGCCGACGCGGAGGCAGCCGAGGATATGAAGAAAGATATGAAGGATATAGTGATAGAAAATGGTTATTCTCCTTGCCAAGTGTGGAATTGTGATGAAACTGGGCTGTATTGGAAAAGAATGCCCAAGACAACCTATCTAATGAAGAGGGAAGAAAAGGCACCAGGGTTCAAGGTCAGTAAGGACAGACTGACGATTCTCCTCATGGCAAACGCATCAGGCACCGCATGAATGAAGCCACTCGTCATCCACCACTCAGCTAGACCTTTTGCCTTGAAAAATGTACTCATCCCGAAACTTCCTGTAATTTGGCGATCAAACAAGAAGGCGTGGATGACTTCTGATATTTTCGATGAGTGGTACATCAGCCATGCCACCCCACTTAAAAAAAAAAAAAAAAAAAAACCTTAGCAACAGGCCTTGGTTCTCAGACAACGCATATTGCCACCCCAAACACCTGTGTAGTGTGAATAAGGACGTAAACTTGACCTTCTTCCCTCCAAACGTGACTTCACTTATTCAGCCACTAGATCAAGGTGTTATTGCCTTGTTCAAGAGATATTATCTCAAGGATACCACAAAGCAAATGGCTGAAGCTATGATCAAGGACAGCAATATGACTGCAGCAACGTTTTGGACGAGCTACACCATCAAAGATTCCATAGCTAACATCACATTTGCGTGGAAGTGTGCCAGAAACTGCACTAAATGGAGTGTGGCGTAATTTGTGGCCTGAGGTAGTCCACGATTTCAAGGGCTTTGATGAAGGCAAGGGTGTGAAAGTCATTCTGAAGATTTATTTTAATGGTAATTAATGGTTCGCGATACGCTGATTCACCTTACACTGCAATATTGGAGGACACATTACCGTCGTTATTCGAGGCTTTACTGTACCATTCACTGCTCAACCGAAACACCATGTGGATGTCCTGATTACCCAGCAGGTCCCTCAGTATCCAGAGCTGACCCACCTCAGCTTTTCTCCATCCCTGGATGAGGTAGCTACTGCCAACAAACAAATGAAAAATAACAAAGCCTTAGGCCCTGATGGAATCCCAGCTGAGGTGTATAAAGCAGGAGGACCTCTGCTTACCAGCCATCTCCACTCTCTCCTGGAAAATATACGGGAAAAGGAGGAAATCCCTCAAGCTCTTAACCCTTAGGCCCCGGGTGACGTTCCAGAACGTCCGCCTATTTTCCCACCATATTTTTTACCTTTTTTGGGGGGGAGAGGGGGGAGGAAGAGCGAATTATTTTTCACGATTTAGCCCCACAGTGAGGGGGGGGGTTACTGCCAGCAGCACCCTAAGCCAGGGCTTAGGGGTTGAAGACGCCTCCATTGTCAATATTTATAAGAACAAGGGAGACTGGTCAGACTGTGGCAACTACCCCGGGATCTTGCTGCTGTCAGTAACTGGCACGTTTATCGCCCATGTCCTCCTAAACAGACTTTTTCCTAAGGCGGAAAACTTCCTCCCAGAATCTCAATGTGACTTTAGTCGACCTAACCAAGGCCTTCGACTCGGTCAACAAGGAAGCCCTCTGGTGGACCCTCAGCCGTTTTGGCTGCCCACCAAAATTCATCGCCATTGTGAGGCAACTCCACAATGGCATGAACAGCAGTGTCCTGCACAACGTCACCCGGTCTGAGTTCTTCCCCATCCAAACAGGGGTTAAACAAGGATGTGTACTGACACCAACCATCTTTTCCATTTTCTTGGCTGCCTTCCTTACTTGTGCCAGTGCCAGTGCCAGTTTAGGCAGCGGGGTGGACATCGAGTACAGGGGTGAAGGGGGGGTCTTTTCAACATAAACGACTCCAGGCAAGAACATAGGTGTCGGCAGCTTCCATTACTGAGCTTCAGTATGCAGATGACCTCACCCTTGTTGCTCACACTAAACACGACCTACAGGAGATCCTGAACACCTACGCGGATGCGTAAGCACACTTCAGCCTTGAGGTGAATGACCATAAAACTCAGATTCTCTTTCAACATGCCCCTGGTTCAGACACACCTCCACCATCCATCCAGCTTAACAGTTCTCCACCTCTCTACTGTTACCCACTTTCGGTATCTCGGCTCCCACCTGTCCACCACCGCGGACATCGATGAAGTGATTCAGCATCAGATCAGATGTGCATCTCAAGCCCTTGGCAGACTCCAAAACCGTGTCTTCAACTGTAGGGAGCTGAAATTATCTACAAAGCTGACGTATATCAAGCCGTGGTCCTCCCCACCCTGCTATGTGGTAGTGAAACATGGGTCACATACAGGAGGCACCTCAAGGTACTTGAAAACTTTCACCAACGTAGTCTACATTCCATCCTCTGAGTTCGATGGGAAGACAAGAGAACAAATGCCAGTATTCTTGTTGACACCAACTGTAGGAGCATCAAAGCTACCATTATCCATGAACATCTACACTGAACTGGCCATGTTACCCAAAAGGACGACAGTAGACTGCCAAAGCAGCTTCTTTACAATCATCTAACGAATAGTAAACGTAAAGCCAGTGGGCAATTGAAGAGGTATAAGGATAGTCTTAAGACAAACCTGAAAAAGTGCCAAATCGACCCCATCACCAGGGAGTCGATTACTCCACATCGTAATGCTTGGAGGAGCATCACACTAAAATGTGCCAATACTTTCGAATTAGCCTGACTGCAAATCGAGACAGACAAGCGCCAACGCTGTTAAGATGCTGCCACTGCCCCTCCCGCACTAGATGCAGCCTTCCACATGTGCAACGAATGTGAACGATTCTGCTGGTCCCGTATCGGCCTCTTTAGTCACTTCAAAACTCACCAACCTACAGTAGGTGACATACCTAATAACCCATCTCATTATATCATAGCTGGATGATCGTCATACTCAATTCTGAGTGACAGCAAAGTAGAAGTAAAAGTAAGTGAGTGAGTGAGTGAGTGAGTGAGTGAGAGTGTGTGTGTGTGTGTGATAATAATAATAAACGGTTTATTAATAGAGTTGCAGCCGGTGGCTGAAAATATACAGACTTACATTTGATTTAGACATAATGATATAATATGCATTGAATACATTTACAGTACATAAATAAGGAGTTGTTTATTATTTTAACAATAGATGGGATGGTGCTGTTCTTATATCTATCGGTGTGGGCTCTTATGGGCTGAATTTTGGTGTGTGTGTGTGTGTGTGTGTGTGTGTGTGTGTGTGTGTGTGTGTGTGTGTGTGTGTGTGTGTGTGTGTGTGTGTGTGTGTGTGTGTGTGTGTGTGTGTGTGTGTGTGTGTGTGTGTGTGTGTGTGTGTGTGTGTGTGTGTGTGTGTGTGTGTGTGTGTGTGTGTGTGTGTGTGTGTGTGTGTGTGTGTGTGTGTGTGTGTGTGTGTGTGTGTGTGTGTGTGTGTGTGTGTGTGTGTGTGTGTGTGTGTGTGTGTGTGTGTGTGTGTGTGTGTGTGTGTGTGTGTGTGTGTGTGTGTGTGTGTGTGTGTGTGTGTGTGTGTGTGTGTGTGTGTGTGTGTGTGTGTGTGTGTGTGTGTGTGTGTGTGTGTGTGTGTGTGTGTGTGTGTGTGTGTGTGTGTGTGTGTGTGTGTGTGTGTGTGTGTGTGTGTGTGTGTGTGTGTGTGTGTGTGTGTGTGTGTGTGTGTGTGTGTGTGTGTGTGTGTGTGTGTGTGTGTGTGTGTGTGTGTGTGTGTGTGTGTGTGTGTGTGTGTGTGTGTGTGTGTGTGTGTGTGTGTGTGTGTGTGTGTGTGTGTGTGTGTGTGTGTGTGTGTGTGTGTGTGTGTGTGTGTGTGTGTGTGTGTGTGTGTGTGTGTGTGTGTGTGTGTGTGTGTGTGTGTGTGTGTGTGTGTGTGTGTGTGTGTGTGTGTGTGTGTGTGTGTGTGTGTGTGTGTGTGTGTGTGTGTGTGTGTGTGTGTGTGTGTGTGTGTGTGTGTGTGTGTGTGTGTGTGTGTGTGTGTGTGTGTGTGTGTGTGTGTGTGTGTGTGTGTGTGTGTGTGTGTGTGTGTGTGTGTGTGTGTGTGTGTGTGTGTGTGTGTGTGTGTGTGTGTGTGTGTGTGTGTGTGTGTGTGTGTGTGTGTGTGTGTGTGTGTGTGTGTGTGTGTGTGTGTGTGTGTGTGTGTGTGTGTGTGTGTGTGTGTGTGTGTGTGTGTGTGTGTGTGTGTGTGTGTGTGTGTGTGTGTGTGTGTGTGTGTGTGTGTGTGTGTGTGTGTGTGTGTGTGTGTGTGTGTGTGTGTGTGTGTGTGTGTGTGTGTGTGTGTGTGTGGGTGTGTTGTGTGTGTAGCACAGTGTGGGTAGTGTTGTCATGTGTGTGTAGCACAGTGTGAGTAGAGTTGGTGTGTGTGTAGCACAGTGTGGTTAGTGTTGGCGTGTGTGTGTAGCACAGTGTGGGTAGTGTTGGCGTGTGTGTGTAGCACAGTGTGGGTAGTGTTGTCATGTGTGTGTAGCACAGTGTGAGTAGAGTTGGTGTGTGTAGCACAGTGTGGGTAATGTGGGCTGAGAGTGGGGGGAGTTGAACCTTTTTGAGGGGTGAGAAGTTCCGGCGCAACAGAGAGGCACCAGGAAACTCCACCTACCATCTCAAAATTTTTCCAGGACACCAGATGATGTCATCAAAGCAACCAATAACATTTTTAGAATATAAATGTTAAGAGTCATGCTCCACTAATTTCATCATTTGACCTCTTCACCCTCCTTCATGGCTATGTTTTCTATCACTTAGCAATGTAGACTAACAGTGTAAAAAGAATTGTTCTCCATTTTCATGATATAATCAAACTAAAACACAGGTATTATAAAAGAAAACATAAAAATTAACAATAATGCTGTATAACAAATTGTAAAGAAAATTTGTCAGTCATGTTAGTGTTCTCAAGCCTTCTACCTCTTAACCCCTTAATTCCCATTGACTCAATGGTTATTATAATGTGATATTCTTAAAAACAACTACTGTACTGTGTTATAGGAGAACTGACTATACTACAAACTCAATTTCATCACATTTCCTCACCATTTTTCTCCGCCGCTCCATAAATCTATGCTCTGCTTGAGTCATTGTACGTGTTGAAGATGTAGGCTCATCTGGATAATCTGTTGTTGCTTCTCTTCGAATGCTGGCTTCCATCTGCTTTTCTATGTCCTTTTTCTTCTTTTTCTTTTTTCTAAAATAAATCATAATCCCAGTGATTAAAAGAGTACCGTCTCGTTTGTTCATGCATTAACAGTTACCTATTAGATGGGTCATTCTTTGAATAAAAGGACCCAAACCCCCAAAAATTTCAACAAAAGAATTTCTGATGGTTTATAATCCTACATGTCCTGGAGAATGATATACTAAAAGTCCATATATATCTGATGATGAGAAATTAAAAAAATCTGGGTCATTTTCAAGACAGGTGCCAGTCAGGAAAAAACAACAATAAAATTTGCTTGTTTTCCATGTACTGTACAGTATAGTCTCGGTTTACGCGGATTTTTTATACAAGGTTGGTCATTTACGCGGCACCTGTCCAGACGCGCCAATTATTAGTTACGGGGTACACTCCTGAATTTATGCGGGAAGCAGCGCGGACAAGCTGTGCGCTAGGTCGCTCTTACGTCACCGCTGACCTCAGATGACGTTTCGGACTGTGATTGGGCCACGCATCCCCTCCGCTGCGAGCTGTGATTGGTCTATTTAACTTTGCTTGTCCAGTCAACAAAACATTACCGAGTTCTTCACCTGCCACCCACCACAGCCAGCTCAAGTCAGTAATAGTGAGGATATGGACTTTGAGGGGTTTGACAAGGAGGCCCTGCTAGCCTCTGTGGTGGATAGTAATACAGGTGAGGGCCAATAATCTGCCCTCTGCCTCGGAACCAATCCCCCATCCCCGTGTGCCCAGCCATCTCTTCTACGAACGTACTGTAAGTGTTAAAAAACTTAATATTATTGATATTTCTCTTAACTATTAATTGTGTGTGCATACCATCATAAAATTAAGATGTTATTTTTACTACAACGTACGTATTGTGTCGGAAAAAGGGTAGTCTGGCGGTCGGCCCAGTCTCTATTTCAATTAATCCCATATGTTCTGTTATTTCGTTTACGCGTTTCGCGTTATATGCGGACCTCCATGGGTTTAATTGACCGCGTAAAACGAGACTATACTGTATTGTTCATTTCAAGGTAATTCAGAGTATTAAATAAGTATAGAATTGTTAGAAATATTGACACTTGCACACATTATGACATTATGCTTAGGGACTTGATAATGGCTGACTGAACTGGGTCTTCAATGTTGCATCTCCAGGCAATATCTGAGTGCTTACTTATTTTTGCAGCAGCAGGGCATTTCAATTATTTGAAATCTGTTCACCTCTACCTACAAACAATGCTCGAGCTTGAGACACGACAGCCTTTGATGCATGAGAGTTTCAGAAAAGGATGCATGTTATACGGAGGAGTGATCAAGAGTGTGCAGTATTTGGGCAGATCTTGTAATTGAACAAACCCTCGCGAGATCATTGAAAAGTACAGGTGGTTTGACCCACAGTAGTGGGATGACATAGGAACAATGGACTCTGTGGACAATGTCGCAACCAATCACATCACAATACAGCAGTGCAATGCAAGAAATCATCGATAAAACCTATACCACAAACAAACAACACAAGGAATCAAGAGGGATATCACAGATTGCCATGATTCATGCGGGGAGGGTACAAGTGTTTCTTATATTCTTACCATTGAGTTCAGATACCTTCACATTGGCTACTCACCCAGGGGAATATGGTGTATTACTAAATAGAAATTCACTTCACCACCCGACATTCCTTGTGATTTATACATGCTAAATGATGATTTAATGAATTCCATTAATTTCCAACATCCATCTAAGTTATTGGTTATACTTTGTCATAACAAATCAGTCATTACGTTTTGTAATAATAAGATAGGATCACAGATACGAGCAGATAATTGCACTTACATTTATTTGGTAAGGTTCCATACACTGATTTACAATTTGCATGGATATATGTCAAAAGGGAGTTTTGAACCTGGGCACCACACATTTGATTACAGTACAGTGGTCCCTCGGTTAACGAGCACAATCCGTTCTAGAAGGTTGCTCGTTAACCGAAACCATTGTTTCAATGGGTTTTTGGGTAATTGGTTCCAGCTCACCGAAAATTGCCTAAATTCAACAAAAAAGGTAGAAAAGTACACTTACTTTGAGGTGTGTATGTAGAAGGCTCCTGGATGATGATGATGATGGGAATTAGAATGGGGGTGGAGAAGAGAAGGCATTGGGGTGGAAGAGAAGTCACCCCATGGTGCCATTTCACCCATAAAATTTTAGTTCTCTTGGTGTAATTCAAGATTAATTTCTTTAAATAAACACTGCACTGCATTATATATTGTCAATATGTAAAATAAATTTCAAAATGACCAATAATTTGCTTGCAAACACAGAAAAAAGCGTTTAGTTGAAGTGAGTCTCAAGCAAGATGTTACCTCCACTGAAAAGACACGAAGACTGACGCCTGTATGGTGTGCTGAGAGGCTGGATGGCGCGCATAAAACTAGCTTCATTACCTTCAATTATGCTCAATAATTGTTAAAATGACTAAAAAATTTAATATTAAACATTTAAAATTATGGAATAGTATAAACTCCTTGATATGTGCTAAAATGGTAAGGAATTTAAGCCCTAGAACCGATTACTGTATTGGTGGACTAATACTACAGCTGGTGGACCGCCAAATGCAAGCGAAAACATGTTCAGGTCGGCTCGTAAGAAACTCGTTAATCGAGGGATTGCTCGTTAACCGAAGTTAAGAATCTTATGGAAGGTAACTCGTTAACCGAGTCGCTCGTTAACTGAGGGACCACTGTAACCGTTTTTGATCAGGGATGACTTGCACCTTGACGCATTTCCCATGAAAACGAAGGTTAGATCTGAAAAAAAAATACCTGTACATCCAAATGTATCAGAAGCCAAACATCTCGTGAAAAAATTCGAGCGTGTGCTAAAACGAAAAATTACCATCGTCAAAAATTACCGCCACCTCAGTTAGCTTATATACAGTAGTGCTCCTGGGTAAATTTTTACAAGAGGACAACCATGGATTTTTTGTTGAGCAATGTGTTTTTCCTTTGGTTTAAACAGAGTTAAGGTTAATTTATAGTAGTGCACCATTGGGTATTAGAAGTATGCGTTCCCTCTGGTTTTTGATGATTTTTGAACGAATTTGACATTCATTTCCATCGGAGATAAACCCCCCTCCCTCCCCACCCACACTCTTAAGGGAAGATGTTAGGAAGTGGGAGTTTTGGGATGGAGGAAATCTCAGAAACAGGTGATTTAAAATGGAGAACATGCCCAAAATCCTTCAAAAGTCATAAAAAAAACCATAGGAAAAAACATATTTCTAAAACCAAAAGAAATATAACCTAACTTAACCTACCCCTTTTTCTGAGTAAAATAACATAGAAAATCACCAAAAACAAACCAAACCTCACCTAACCAAGGGGGCTCTGCCCCAGCATCTTACCTTAATCTGAAGAAGAATCAGGTTCATTTGGGTCGTCAATGCTTAAATCGATGATTTGAAATGGTGGTCGTGGGAGTCGGCCACTTTGAGGAGGTACAGGCAGGCTGCTTGAATGACAATGCCAAATGTGATCTTCACGATACGTACACTGATTTTTACAGTTTGGACAACTCATGTTGTTCGGTAATACTGTACAGTTAACCCTCACTTTACGCGGTTAATGTAACCCGGAGGGTACCGCGGAAAGTGAGGAACGCGTAAAGTGAATAACATAACATATGGGATTAATTGAAATAGAGTCCAGGCCGACCCCCAAACTCCACTTTTTGACGACACACAACTATGTTGTAGTAAAAATATTATCTTAACTTTATGATGGCATGCACACACAATTAATAATTAAGAGAAATATCAATAATATTAGGTTTTTTAACACTTACATTAGTAGAAAAGATGGCTGGGCACACGGGGATGGGCGGTTGGTTCCGAGGCAGAGGGCAGATTATTGGCCCTCACCTGTATCACTTGTATCAATTGTATCACTATCCACCACAGAGGCTTGCAGGGCCTCTTTGTCAAACCCCCCAAAGTTCATATAAGTCCATATCCTCACTATAATTATCACTATCACTGACTTGGGCCGGCTGTAGTGGGTGGCGGGTGAAGAACTGGTAATGTTTTGATGACTGGGCGACCTTGTGCGCACCATTTTCGCGCAGCTTACACAACATGGCGGATGGCGGGAGGTTTGGATCCAAAAATGGCGCGGCTTGCCAGCCGCTCTCCGCGTAATGGGGTAAACGCACCACGGAATGTGAGCATGTTAGGTTCCGACAGGGCACCGCGTTAACGGTGAAACGCGGAATGCGGGACCGCGTAATGTGAGGGTTGACTGTACACCGTGTGTTTTTTAAAATGCAAAGGCCTCAGTATTTCTCTGATGGAACTCGGCAAGAGACTAAAATAATTGCGTTGACAATGTCTGCACAGATTTTCCACCTGTTCAGCCAAATCTGGTACTGAAATTAATAATTTCCCTCCCAACGCACCCACACATTGCTCATTGGCGAAGACAAAGAGCTCTTCCCCAATAATAAGTCTCCCCTCGCCCTGCACTCCCCAAAAATAACGTTACCCTCACCCTCTACTTCCACTAGCCAATAAGAACTTCCACACCACCCACACACATGCGCTGTAGAAGAAGAAGCGAACAAAAGAGCACATGGGAGCAGGAACTGAGGGAGGAAAGAGCTTCTCCGCCTGACATAAACAAGGAATAGGGGCGACTTGTGACATACAAAGGATAATAAAATTGGAAAAATAACATCTTGGTTATCCTTAATTTCCAATGAAAATGTCATAGACGAAAAATGTCTTAGAATTGTCTAAACATTCAGAAAAAAACATATTTCTAGCACCGAGAGTTAGAACGGTGCACTACAATACAAAGATGGTACAGGTGTTATTTTACTTTAGGACACAGCGTGCCCAAAAGTTATAAACTACTGAAACATTTAGATCTCCCTATTCTGAGCATTTTGAACCCCATATATACCAGGCGGAAATAAATAAAAGTGGCACGTAGTTTTCAGTCTTCGCCTCAGCAAGGAAATATTGACTGATG